CACTTCCATTGTTACTTAGCACTTCCATTGTTACTTAACACTTCAATTGTTACTTAACACTTCCATTGTTACTTAACACTTGCATTGTTGATGGAAGTGTTAAGCCTTAATCCTGTCCCTCTCCCCCGTGGGGAGGAATTTCGAAAAATCCCTTCTTAGTGTGCGTTCTCCTAACGTACCCTAACTGTGTACCAAATTTCAACGTTCAACTCCTAACCGTTTGGGCTCGTATCCATAATGTATATAGAAGTTTTAATCCTGTCTCTCTCCCCCCGGGGGGGAATTTCGAAAAATCCTTTCTTAGTGTGCGTTTTCGTGACGTACCCTAACTGTGTACAAATTTCAACTTTCAACTCCTAACCGTTTGGGCTCTGCGCTGATTATGATTATTATTATTATTATTATTATTATTATCAACCCGTCTCGATTATATATTAGATAAGAAAACTGTGTGGATATGTTATCGTTATTCGCAATTATCGAAAAAACTTTATATTATTAACAAAAAGCGATGTAATAGGGAGTGTCACAAAAACATTGATGGAAAGTTTGCATCAATATAAGCTGACCACGTACAGTACCTAATTTTTTGTAATCGACTGAAAGGCAACTTTTGACTCATGCTACTTTTGATCAATATAAAATTTTATGATAAGACTTAATTCCTTCATAAAGAAACATAAAACAAGAATTGTTTGATCTGCATGAAGCACGTGATATTTTTGTCTGTTTACATCAATAGTTCGCATATGTATGGCAGACCGCCTGGTAGGAGATAAAAGTATTTGGCTCCTATGGATATGGATACAGTATGTTTTAAAACTACTAACATAGGTATCATATTAGAAACACTTATGGATATAGATTATGTATGGATATAATTACTGTATGTAGTTTATAAACCAACCATTACTGTGCTGCCATCTGTCTATCTCATTTGGGTGTTATTAAATCTGATTTGCAATTCGTGAAGCTTTATAATAAAATATATGACGTATATATACATGAATATATTTACAGGAAACGGTGGTAGTTGCAGGCCAAGCATACCTATTGGGATTAACAATATATTATTTTGACAACAGATTGGAATGGAATCAACACAATATATATATAACAATTGCAGGATTTTTTGGTGTAACTGCAATTTACGTTTTTACATATAATATTAATACCTTTGTCACAGAAATTTATGGAATGAAATTAAAGATTGCATTTTGCACTCTGGTATATAGAAAGGTGAGTATAAAACATACCACATTATTTATTGCAATAATTATGAATGATATATCATTATTATGTATGATATATAATATGATTATGTACGATATTAATTTACCATAAGTTTGTATATACCATATAAAATTAAAACACCATTACACTTGGATATGCTTCATACACTTTCATCTCACTAAGACGCAACAGAGCATTAGAATAATTTATTCATATTTTATAAAATGCAATAGCTTATAATCCTTCATTGGACTGTCGAGTAAACAATATTCTATAAGTTATCAGATTATATTTTATACAATGAAATACTTAAAACTGTAAATTCAAAAATACACTTATTAAATAAACATAGCAAATATTTTGATTAAAGCTTACTACAACAAGCAATTCAGTGCTTTTCGTACAATTAAAGTCATCATACATTTCTTATTCCTTTGAAATAAAGGACTTGATACAATAAGAGTTTGAAAATGCACTAAGCCTAGTACAATTAATATGATTTTTCAGGTAATACACTAATTATTCATGTTAATATAAAATTTATATTTGCAGGCAATTAGGTTAAGTCCTTCATCGCTAGGAAAATCGAATGTAGGACAAATGGTAAACCTTCTAGCAAATGATGTTTGCAAGTTTAATACTGTAAGTTGAAGTTGATATTCTAATGAATAATATATTTTTGACGTTAATACATATGAATAACAAATAATTATATTTCTAAAGATTTTTTAAAAATAAAATACAATATCTGAGCTAAAATGTTCTTCTCCTCTGTTTTAATGTAAAATGTTTTATTTGTTGTTTATAAATTAATAAATTAATTCCGGTAATTAACTTCTAATGCAAATATATCGGATGGGTGTTGCATTGTCTAAAAATTTATCTATTCTAACCTTCAATCACTTAAATTTTATTTTTACAAGAGCGCATGAATAAGATAGCAATTTTCTTCAGATTTTTCAGAATTATACTGTAAATAATTGAAATTTTGCCGATTCTAAAAAATTTTGTAATGGCCTCTCTGCGAATGCGAAATTTCAACATTATACATTGTTTAGTTTATGGAATATCGTTTTATTTATAGAACAATGTTCTTTATTGGGTTTCCATAAGTAGCTCTTCAAATTTCTTTGTAATAGCATAACTAATATGAAACAAGTTTAGCTGGATATAAATGTCCTGAGGGCTGATGTGTTTTTCCTCAGAAGGACAGTCAGTCAGTCACTCAATATCTTATACAATAGTTTGTACATGCCCGGCTTTGCATGGCACTACCGGGAATGAAAACCAGATACAGTAATCGTTAACTTGTTTACCATACAGGAACTACAGAATTATCAAAAAGTAGGTTGGAATAGTATACAAGAGAGTTAATACAATGGTTTGCAGGTATTACAATGATGTTGTAGTTAAATACAATGATGATATGGTTAATTACAAGTTGTTTACAGTATAAGTATAATTACAAAGTGATGGATTTTGAAAGCTTTACCAGTACAGACACTATGCAATATTACAAGTGTTGATACAAAATAAAACATGGAGATGTGTATAAGTGCAGAGGGAAAAAGCACATAAATTACATAAAATTGAGTACAATACAGCAAATTAAGTAATGATACAATATAATAGCGTTTAAAATACAGTTTGAGTATAGAATACAATACATAAGAGAAGTAATACGAGCCATTACATTACAACTTCGAAAACAGTAGCAGTTAGGTGGCATATGTACAGTATTTACAGAGGTCCGTAGCAGTGGCGGAGGTAATGAAAGAGAACGTTGTCTGGTGAAGAACTACTCATACGTGGTGATGGGTGCCACTTGCTCATAAGCAAGCACTAGGTTACGAAAAGCTGAATAAAGTTCCTTGTGTTTAAGGAGATCATGTTGCTGACACGGCCAGGAGATGTTTAATTTCTGTGCAATTAGTTCAATTTCGAGTCGTTTCCTTTCAAGGCACACGCATCTGTAAAGATAGTGGTTGGGTCCGCCGACCTCTTTACAGATGGCACAAAGGGGAGTACGTTTACCTGTAAAGCGATAGAAATAGCTGGGAAATCTCCCTTGGCCGGTAATAAACTGAGTAAGGAGAGATGTGATATTAATCCAGGTATGCAGTGGTGCTCGTTGATATTATGTATGAATTGGTGGGTTCGGTTTCTGTGGTTGTTTCCCAAGAGTTCTGCCAGTGGAGAAGAATATCATTATGCAAAAGACTTTTGATTTTGCTATGACTGAGCATGTTATATATGGGCGGAAGGACAAGAAATTTTTACCTTATAGGGCACACCAGTGGCCAAGCGGTTCCGTTCTTTGAACACTGGGCGTTCGGTCGTAAGGTTTGAGCCTCGCCAGGTCGAGCTGGCCACGTGGAGTTTTCCGAGTTTTCTCCACGTCTATATTGTCTGAATAGGGGCTACTTACTCTTAAAAACACTTTCCGGAAGGCATTCTTCCTAGGCAGATCGCCTACGTGTCGCGTTGCCGTAACTTAACTAAACAAACAATCTTATAGAGACAAGCGTGTAAGCATGTAGAATGTCCCATAATTACATCACCCATTGCAGGCAAACATCCATGTTGCAATGACCGCCTGTGGAGGCAATTGTGAGTGACTACCATTACCTAAAGTAAGTGAAATCAGAACACTAAAACCAATGTCAGTTTGGAAACTCGTCACACATGATGCCAACACATATAAAAAATTTTTTAACGCAATTGCATGTGTATGTCAGTGATTATTCACGGCAATTTTTTGAGGGTCTGTGCTAAATGGAAAATAGTTTTCATACACTAAACCTTGAGGATATGACAGAATAATCAGACAGCTTACAGTGTGTGTAGTAAAGAAATCAGAAATATACATTAGCGTGCACAAGAACAAAATGTTGAGTAATATATCTAAAACATTATAACTTATATATTATGTAATTATACGAAATTGAAGAATATCTATAAATCGCCATTCCTTATAATCTGAAACAACTCTAATCCTGTAAGTGCTAAATTCACGAAATTCTGCTTTAAAAGGAAGTAAGGAGTATGCAAATTTAACACGATCATTATATATAGAGCTATTGATAACATTTTAAAGTATTATAAAGATATATTAAAGTATATTAATATTATACTTTATTATTATATATGTTTATTATATATATTTTATGATTATTCATATAATTTTACATTATTCTGAAGAATATATTAGCTTTAATCAAATTAATACTTATGTTATATGTATTTAACGTTTTTTTTTATTTTCTTTATAGAATATTTTTTATTTTCCTTATTTGTTTACAAATCCTTTCCTTGTTATCGTTACAATTGTGATGTTGTGGCAATATTATGGATGGACTATTTTAGCAGGATTCTTGGCTATATTTATTTTTATTCCTATACAAATTGCATTGAGCAAATTATATTCAAAACTGAGGTAATTATTACTTTAAATTATATAGTTTTAATACAAACACACACGCACCCATTCAAACACACACACACACATAATATATATGTAATAAATAAATATATATATATATATATATTTATTTATTTATTAAACAATTATTAGTAGAAACGTGTTTGATACCTATGATATATACTTAAAATCACCCTTTCAATTTTTTACAAAACATTTACCAATGTTTAACGTGTACGGAATTTTTACTCAACTTGTTGTTGAGATGTCTTTGAATGTAAGGCATGTTTCTATGATGCAGTCATATACAATTAATTGATAGAGTTTATAAATGCTGCATGATCGAGCTGACGTCAGCAAGATAATCATTCTGCCTAATTTCTTGTCATTTATTCCATTCTGACATGACTGCCAATAGATATTCAGGACATTCGCTATATCAGGAAACACAGGCGAGCATTTCAAGCAGCTGTGATACAGATCATTAGGAGAGACGATGATCACGAAACAAGGAAGTGCTCCATACTTGCTGCAAAAGCATGTTTCCCATTATCAAAATACAGATGGAAGCATTGTTACATGGTCTACTTTCTGCACCATTGATAGTTGTTTTCTGCAACTAGCAAAAACGTATTTTCATACAGGTAAACTCTAAGCGTCTTGCCATTAACACCTCAAAATGTCGATTTCATATGCAGTAATGCCGTGACAAAGTAGAATGAACTTATATACACAGGCGAATTATTCATTAGTAACGAATTCGTGTTCTATTTGGGAAATTAGATCCACCGTATTAGAGTGAACAGGATGACCGGTGAGCACTCCTAATTTGTTTTTACTGTGAAGATATGTACTGTCAGTGGCGGCCATAGGGGGTGGCGAGCAGGGCAATCGCCCAGGGCCTCGCTCTTGGAGGGGCCTCGCGCAACAACCAAGTAGAAAAAAGTTGATATTTAAAACTTTTTATTTTNTATAAAATTAGTGCTGTATTAGACTTACGGTACCTAATTTACATACTGTGCAGACGATAATAAACTCAACTTACTAGCCTAAAATCTCCGTAGCGTGTTGCCAGGCGGCAGAAAGCATATATATAATTATAATAAAGTTACAATAAATTAAGTTAATATATAATTATATATACAGTACCTAATTTATATATAATTAATATATAATTATATGTACAGTACCTAATTTATATATAATTTATATATAATACTGTACAGACGATAGCAAACTCAATTTAGCCGCTCCGTAGTGTGGCGCAGGGTCAGAGGAAAGTAGTTCGGCTGCTCATCCACTATTGGTCCAGATTCTATCAATCTTGTCGCGAAACGACGTAATAGGAGGTATTTTATATGAATGTTGCTACAATTTTTTCGCTACGTTATAGGAATTGTCGTTATAGGAACGCACGTTATACGGGGGTCGACTGTATATGTTATCATAATCTAACAGTACGAATGCAATGCAGAATTGGTTAACTGTTCAGTTATGTCCAATTAGCATTGATATGGATATAATGCAATTAAATACAATATAACAAATGTTATTAAATTAAACGGTGCAAACATAATTAGCATATCATTTCTATTTTCACAGATTACTAAATATTTTTCTTCATGCCTATCTATCTGTTTTTCAATTTAAAAAAATTTTCCGCATGCTTTTGTACGTACAGTACAAATACTTTTTTTTTGTAAATTGATTGAATCTGAAAATGTTTTTAGGTAGAAATCATTCGTGAATAATTTGTCTATGTTTGTCATTATATTTTTAATATTCAATTTTTAGATGTAGGTAAAGAGAAATTATTTCCAATCTTTAAAATATTTATTAAATTTTATTTATTGTTAGTCAAGAAATAATGGAGTTAGGTCTCGATATGTTATTGTTGAGAATTTTNTTAACAATAAAGAAAATTTAAATTATTCTATAATAATTTCTAACAAATTTAATAAGATATTTCTTGCGATAAATCTTCAGCAATTTTTTCGTGGTTCCCACGTTGTTAATTAATTAAATAGAGATTATAATTGTGTACTGACATTGAAAGTAATGGCTGTGAATTTATAATGCGCAGAACAATACATGAATCTTTCAAATTTTGTAACAAATGTAACGTCTAAATTTGCTAAATATCAAGTAATGCGTGCATGTAGTGACACGTATTTCATGGTGGGGGTACGATCCAGGCCTCATTATTCCTAATACCAGTAGTCCAGTAAAAACACGAAAAGCCCCAATCTTATCGAGCAATAATTATAGAATATTTAGCATAAAGGGGATGAAGACTCGGGACTACTCATTGGTATTGCGAGAGTATGAAGAAGAGTAGAAGAAAGGTAATTAAGGGAAGAGGCGAAGGGAAAAAGTAAAGCGAGATAGGAAAGGGGATGAAAAGTATTATTATAGAATAGAAAAAATATTTTTTTTTTCTATTCTAAAATTAATGCTCGGTGTAAACCGTAATTTTACTAGACTACAGGTTTACTCGACACTAACGGCACAAATAGACAGGCAAATCAAATGGACAGACAAGTCGATCAGACTGTTAAAATGGAAATTGGTGTTCACACTGGGATATTTTAAAGCAAGTTTTTCTTGTTTTTTGTATTAATAATTTACAGCAAATTGATGAACATACGCCATTTTATAATGAAAGTTAGATGTACCCCTTCGATTTACGCTCGTACTCCCAGGGTACGAGCGTAACCAGGTTGAGAACAACTGCCATATCATATTGATTGAAAATATTTGATTTTTGCGCTCATGCAACTTTGTACAATTGTCAATTTCCTGAAACTATAAAAAAAGACAATGTCATTCCTACTGTATTGTTTAAGTATTGATGTAATTAAATATATTAAAAAACTAGCAGGTAGGCTTGGCGTTGCACGGGCAAAAGTAACAATAACTAAGATTAAGATTATTACGTTAAAGCGTACCTTGCCCGTTTTCACAAAATGCAAGAATTGAGTCCCCTGTTTCCAGACTAATTAGATAATTTTTAGATAGGTCTAAAAATATGTTCGATTTATCGCAAAAACGAAAAATCCTGCACCTGCGTTCTGCACGCCGCTTTCTCTTAACAATTCCATCGTTACGTAACACTTCCATTTTGACACTTGTATTGTTACTTAACACTTCCATTGTTACCTGACAGACACTTCGATTGTCACCTGACACTCCATTGTTACTTAACACTTCTATTGTTAAGTAACACTTCCATTGTTGATGGAAGTGTTAAGCCTTAATCCTGTCTCTTTCCCCCGGGGGGGAATTTCGAAAAATCCCATCTTAGTGTGCTCTTTCGTGACGTACCCTAACTGTGTACCAAATTTCAACTTTCAACTCCTAACCGTTTGGGCTCTGCGCTTATTATTATTATCATTATCATTATCAACCTGTCTCAATTATATATATAGACGTGTGCAATGTTTTAATACTGCACGTCATTTTAAAAGTTTATATATTACGATACAAAATTATTTTTTTGTTTCTCTAATATATTTTCTGTTAACATTACACTAACACAATTTTTTTCTTCATTTATAGTATTAATTTTAAGTACAAAGTTAACATTGAATTTATATAAAATTGGGCCATGTAATCAATTAGATTTCTCTGGTAAGATTCCAGAATGAAATGAGACAAAGTTGAACCTCATTGGTCGACCCTGTCATTTAGAGCTACAATCTTACATTTCGATATGTGAAATAATCTATAATACCTAAAACAGTACTGAAATTATTTGAGCAGAGTAAACATAACTGTTCTGATATTTTTTGTATGAAAATTAAAACGTTCTATTATAATTTAAGATGAGAATATATATTTGTATAAACGAATATATTTACTTTTGAACATAATTACTTAATGATAGGTTACAAGCAGCTAAATTGGGAGACGAAAGACTGAAACTGTTGAACGAGATGATTGCAGATATGAGATTAATTAAAATGTACTGCTGGGAATTGCCATATGCTGCATTAATAGAGAATGTCAGAGCGTAAGTAAAATTAAATGCAGTAAAACCTGTTCAAACGGAAGACTAATAAACCGGAAACATGACTAAATAGAAAACACTCGTGAGAACGAAGAATACAAAACCAGAAGAATTCAAAAATGTGTAATTCCAGTTTACACAGGTTTTACTGTACTTTTCGTTATGTTAATATCTCATTCTTTAAGCAATTACTTACAAATTTTAGAAAATCGTATTAATTAATTGTTAATATTTGCAGAAAAGAAATGAAAAAAGTCCGAATGTTTTTGTATGCAAGAGAGATGTCATTAGTTCTGTCATTTCCAATATCGAAATTATTTATTTCCCTGACATTTCTTGCATTTTATTTAACTGGTGGACAATTAAATTCCCAAATTGTGTTCGTCACTATGACTTTTTCCATATTTGTTTTCGCTAGCACTATTAACTTCTTCTCATTAGCAATAAATGTGGCTGCAGAAATTTTGGTTTCATTAAAGAGACTTCAGGTAACTTACAATTCAAAATTTCCTATGAAATTAATGTAATATTTTAAAGTAATAAAAATTCATATTTTCAATTTATTACGACGATGTTTTCACAAATTATTCGAGAATGTTAATATTATTGTAGTTTCTACAATAATAGTCGTAATTCCGACTAAGCACAAATTTTCTTTGAATTGCACAGGAACTTCGTACAAATGGTAAAAATAGGCATTATTAACATTACGCACTATTCTTTAAAATATAATTTGTTTATGTTATAAATTAAGTGAAATATTGGCTAAGGAAAATACTTTTCATGTATATTGTATTATATTTTAATTGTATAATCATATAAAATTATTTAAAACTTACAACAAATTTTCTAATTAACCAGATATTTGTGGGTGAGAGAACAGATGAGAATAAACATTCAAAGTGCATATCTACTTATGTAATTAATAAATTTATTTTTACCATTTGTCAAAGTTTCTGTGTTAAAAGTTCTTTAAACAATTTTTCTGCTTAAATAAAATTATTTAAAACTTACAACAAATTTTCTAATTAACCAGATATTTGTCAGTGAGAGAACAGATGAGTATAAACATTCAAAATGCATGTCTACTTATGTAATTAATAAGTTTATTTTTACCATTTGTCAATGTTTCTCTGTCAAAAGTTCTTTAAACAATTTTTCTGCTTAATTAAAATTAAATTAATATTATGATAAATTACGTCTGTAAATATTTATCTAATTTTTACGATAATATTTTTCTATTTATATGAACCTTTTAACATGATTTAATTTTTTAATATATTAATTATATATAATTCTGTTTACTTTTGGTCAT